CCTGATGAGGAGGGATGCTGAGCATCGTTTCATGTGTCTGTTGGCCATCTGGATGTCCTCTTTGGAGAAGTGTCTGTTCATGTCTTCTGCCCATTTCTTCACTGTCAACCCCTTAAAGATTTTTAAGATTTTTCTCACTATTATGCCTCAACAGAACTGCTGATAAAACGTGCCAACCAAATCTGAAGCAACTACTCCAAGTACAATCGAATCAAAGGATTACATGATTATTACTTTGTTGATCTTAGTACAATACAACCCAATATTGCTTTAAAAAAATTTGACAGGCTTTTCATAGTTCATACTGGGCTAGTAAATAAACCACCTAGATCTTTTCCCTTTTGAAAATTTTCAAGACAGTGTACTCACACTTTTTTTTAAAACCAGGCTTTAAAAAACTTAAAGGCAAGGCTTTCATTTGTTCTATTAAATTCTAATTTTTAGGTTCAGCCCCAGCATTCTACACTGCTGATGTAATTTTGAGTACTAACCCTTCCTTCCTAGCCAGTATTAACCACAAATATGTTTTTCATGCCCTCTATACTTTTGTAACCACCACAAATAAAAATGTTAAATGATACAACCTTAGGCACAGCCCTCTCTAGCTGTTCAAATAAGTTACCGATCTACCTAACAGCACCCTTGTTCAGATCAAAGTTCTTTTCATTCACAAAATGTGAAAGACTTCTACAGATGCTTGGAGGGATTAAATCATAAACATATTCATCACAGACTAATGCCTTTTATTCTACCCCACAAAATCATTAGGCTAACATTTCCATCAAATTTTAAGTGTTTGAGTGTGCACTTGCATGCAAGAGAGGGGAGGGGAAGAGACAGAGAGAGAGAGAATCCCAAGCTGACTCAGTGCTGTCAAGGCAGAGCCCAACCTAAGGCTCCCATCTGAGGAGATCATGACCTAAGCTGAAATCAAAAGTTGTACACTTAACCGACTGAGCCACCCGGGCACCCCTCCACCAAATTTTAAGTTCCTAATGACCTTTGGGTTCTTTTGAGAAAAAAATCATTAATAATATGACTTCTTTTTTTTCTTCTTCTTTTAAAGTCTCTGAGAAGTTTTAAAAGAAGAGGGAAAAAAAAGAAAGTTCCTTTGTAGAAAACTGACTAGCATATATAATCGATAGCAAGCATATGCCTTGTGTCTCAGAAATAACTCAGTTGAACTGCCTTCAAAATATTCCCACATCAAACATACAAATGTGTACTGTTTACACTTAAAATTCCAGGCAATACAGTACTCTGCAGTAAGTAAAATACTACTTAATATCAGGCCTGAATGTGTATTTTTTAAATAGACAGGAAGACTAATGACTTGACAGAGAAAGGGATCCACACACAACGCTAACCTACAAAGTCTGGAAGCCCTTCTGTAGAAGAAGAGCTAAATTCAGGGACCAGAGGCAAATACAGGGAAGACGTCCATACTTATTCAACATCTGGGACCACACAACCATTTCTTAGAGTCACCAGCACAGGTCCCATAGCTCTCTTCCTACACCAGTGACTACTCTGGACACCACCTTTGTTTCTGTGGAAGACTCCTCACAGCTGTAGTTTTATTCTTTCCACCGTGTCATGCACAAAAGTGGGAGTCAGCAAACTTCCATTAAGGGCCAAATTAAAAAAAAAAAGTTGATTTTTCTGGTTTCTGTTGCCACTGTTCAAGTCTGCTATTATAAAATGAAAGCAGAAGTAGACAGAAGGTAAATGAATGGGTGGATCTGAGTTTAAAAAAAAAACACTTTAGGGATGCTGAAATGTGAATTTCATATAGTTTCCATGTCACTAAATATTACTATTCTGATTTGGAACCATTTAAAAATATAAAAATCATTCTATATAGCTTGTGAGCCTTACAAACACAGGTGGCCAGCAGTAGTTTGCCAACCCCCTGCCTATTCCACACTGAAGGAGGTCTTCCATCATTCTGATGCTCAGACTGACAGCAGGACAGCAGGCCATGAAGGTTTTGATGAAACTGGTCTTGCCTTACACTTCTAAGTGACCAGTGGTACAACGGGTAGGGGAGTCCAAAGGAGAGAAGCAGAGATGTCAGGAACTACTCTTTCTGTAGAGCAACACAGCACACAGGAATGTTAAGATTTCAGCATTCAAGGTGAGGAGTTGTAGTGAACACATTAAAGTAACACTATCACAGCATCTCTAAATTCCACACCCCACAAGGATTCTACGATGTATGTTTTACCACAGCTCCACGGTAAAAATTGTGATTGTACTTAATCCTTTAATTTTAGGTTACTGAGACAAAGACATAAAATAAATGTTTCTCTAACACTAGGAGCCACAGTTATATACAGACTCGAGGCAGATGAGGTTCAAAGGGCAGAAGGCATTTGCTGCACATCTACTTTATCTAGCCAAAATTCTTCCTGGACTACATAGTTTTTACAATTTCCTGAGCTCTTCATCTATTTAATAAACATCTATGGTTCACTATTACACACTTAGAACTCAGGTTTTCATTAAACAGTTTTGGGGGGAATATAAAAAAGAAATCAATATATTTCAGAACTACTTAATGATAATATATTGGAGAGTGGTGGTAAAGGGAAGATACATCAACAATTATAACAAGAGACAGTGATATCCGAGTTAGACATCAGTCTAAGCTTCCTAAGAACAAGGATTAAGCTTTAGTAACCTTTGCATTGCCAGGGCCTAACTGGTAAAGGCTTAGGAAGGCCTGGTGAGCGTCTTTAAGTATGCAGGACACGCTAAGGAGTCTGCGTTTTCTCAGGGTAAAAATAAGTACTTGTTAGAATTTTTAAAATAATTGTTTTTAAAAGATAATTCTGATAGTGTTGTGGAGAGTATATTGCAAAATGTTAACTTGAAACCAGGGAAACCAGTAAAATAATT